TATTTAATTTTAAATATTTATCTCTAATAAAATTTTAAATTTGTGAGAAAAATAATACTTTTTAAATTTTACCAAACACCTTCACTAATCTAAATTGAGTTCAGAAGAAGAAAAAAGAGAATAATAAACATTAACTTAAAATAAGCATTAACTTAGTTTCTCTTTCATTGTAATATATGAACTTTTTCCATAAAAAGAATACCAATTTACAAACAAGAGGGAAGAACAAGAGCAGAATCCTAAAAGAAACATTATATGTCTTAATCTTAGCGTGAAAGGCATGAAAAAAGAGTAGGAAAAAGTTTAGGTTGGAAAATGCTCACTGTACCCAAAATGGGTCCAAATTCTAGTTACTATTCTATCTTTAATTTTTAGGTAAAAACCCTTAAACTTATTTCAAAATAATATTTAAACTTTTAAACTAAAAATGAAGTAAATAAGCTCTTTAACTTTACTAATGGTGCAAATAAACCCTTCTCACAAGTAGCCAAACAGCATATCTCACAGTGGACTAACTCCCTTTCTTTTTCAGATTTCCACTAATCCACGTAGATACATATGTTGATGCGGCACTACTCCATGTATAAAGGGATCAAAGTGCTCATTGTATAAAAGCTAAAGGACCAGATCTGTCATTTAACCATTAAAGAAATAAGCAAAAACGAGTTAGAAAGCCGACACGGCTATGATGTAGCTGTTATGTAACCATCTTTTTAATTGTTTATATAAATTTATAATTAATTAATATTAATAATTTATTTATTTATAATATCTGTAAAATAATGTTTAATTTTATTATTGTATTACTTGAACTAATTAATACTCTCGTTAACTTAAACATATTTTACTTAAATAAAAAAAAATATAAAAACTTGGAGTTTGAACCATATATATATATCGGGAAAGTGGCCATCAGTCCTGACTCCCAAAAAAAATTTGGAGTCCTAACCCAAAACGACGCCGTTTTATTAATCCCAGCCCCCCTCCCCTTTGCCTTTGCCCCTGCCCCTTTTGCCTTTGTCTCTTCTCGCATTCTTTCTCCATCGCCTTCGCCTCTCAACCCTCCCCTTGGCCGCCCCTCCCCTTTGCCTTTGCCCCTGCCCCTTTTGCCTTTGCCTCTTCTCCGATTTGTTCTCCATCGCCTCTCAACCCCTCCCCTTTGCCTTTGCCTTTGCCTCTTCTCCGATTCCTTCTCCATC